ACCCGTCTGCAGTGTCCCCATACTCGCCCGCACCCATAGCCGTCCAATCATAAGCACAAACGGTTTGCATTCTACCATCTGTTTCCACTGTTCACAGAAAGGACTTAGCACCGTGGACAAGCAAGAGGCACCAGCCTCTCACGTTTCAAATGGGGCCCGAGTAAGAGGGGCTTCACAGGGCTCAGGGTCCCAAATGCTCTGTTAATTGCAAAGTCTGCAGTTTGAGACCATCTGCCATCCTCTGGAGAGAGATGGGCCTTTCCGCTCCCTGTAAAGAGTGGCAGTCTCTACCCTGTCCTGTAGGGTCACCAGGAGTGGACATCGACTCAGTGGCAGTGAGTTAGGAGTTTTGTGTTTTGCCCAAGTCTCTGTAATTCCCACCAAATGACCGGGTGGGATCATGCCCCTAGGGCGTGTGTAAGGGGATTGGTCATTTTTTGTGACACACACCCCCTCCCCGCCTGGGAAGAGCACGTTCCAGGTCTCTGTCTGCAATGGGGCGGCCACTGAGACCAGATGGATCACGACTGTGGCGGGGAGACTCGGAGGGTGGGGCACCTTCTCCTGGCCCATGGAACTACCGGGCCAAGGACAGGTGGGCTGGCTTCCTGGCCCACGGAGGCAAAGGCCAAGGGACCACGTGGCTGAGAGGCTGAGAAGCGGAGACAAATGTGGCCAATGACTGTATCCTGACAGTTTGTTGATCCTGACTTGGGGTGACCTATTAACATGTCTGATAACCTGGCTTAATAGCAAGGATCGTCTGTGTGGCCACTGCCGTGAACTCACACCCAGCACCGGTGTCAGAACAGGTAACCAAGAAAGGACCCTGGAGGCTTCTCCGCCCCCTGCTTCGTGGCAACTGGGGAGCCGGAGGAGGCCAGAATGTCCATGGCCGTTTACAGCATGAGAGATGCTGGGGGCGGGTGTGGGTAAGGACAGGGCCAGCTAGCCAATGACCCAAGCATGCTGACCCAGTGGCATGCCCTCCCTCTGCCCATCCCAAACCGCTCCAGACTCCAGCTCTGTCTTTTTATTCCCCTGCTTTTCCCAGACCACAGAGGGATCCCAGCCACAGGATGCAACCACTGGGGCTCAGGCTCAGTCGGACGAGGGCAGGTAGGGCCGGGGGTCTCCAGGGAAGGGCAGGGCGGGCACTTGGTTGTAGTGGGCCATGAGGAAGATGCCCGCAGTGCCACAGAGGAAGAGGGCCAGCATGGCCAGGAAGCAGACACGGTCCAGCACGCGGCCCAGCAGGGACCACTCCTCGTTTCCCTGAGGGTGGAGGCAGGGGGCCTGATGCTTGCCCGCAATCCCTCCCACGCTGGGGCCTAGGCCTCCAGCCCAATTCCTGGGTCCTAACCCCTGACTGTGCCCTGCTCCCTGGGGCACCATCCAGGTCCGCCCCCCAACTCCACTTTTCCACCCACCGCTCCACCTTGAAAAGGAGCCCTGGTGGCATCGTGGTTACTGGTTGGGCTGCGATCTGCAAGGCAGGCAGTTCAAAACCACCAGCGGCTCCATGGGAGAAGGACAACGCTTTCTACTCCCGTAAAGAGTGACCGTCTCAGAAACCCCCGGGGGCAGTTCTACTATGTCCCATAGGGTCACTGTGAGTCAGCATCGACTCGATGGCCATGAGCAATCTAGAGCCCTGGTGCTCTGGTGGGTTACACGTCGGGTTGCTGACCCTAAAGTCAGGAGTTCGAAACCACCTGCCAATCCAAGGGAGAAAGATGAGGCTTTCTGCTCCCGTGAAGAGTTACAGTCTTGGAAACCCACAGGGGTGGATGGTTGGGCTGTGATAAACCGAGTGAGAAGACAAGGCTTTCTCCTCGGTGAACAGTTTGAGTCTCGGAAGCCACAGGGACAGCTCTGCCCTGTCCTGTACCCTATAGGGTCCCTGTGAGTTAGCATCAGCTCCACAGCAGTAGGTTTTGTAGTATCTCTGTCAGTTGGAACTGACTCTGTGACCGTGGGTTTGGAGTGGGGCCCATCCTGGACCTCCCCTGCTCATCTGGCTCTCCCTCGGGGGCCCAACCCTCAGCTAAGTATTCTTCCCTCCCCTCCCTGCCCTCCCCGGGGGTGCTTACGCTGTCAAAGTGACTCTGCTGGCGGCGGGCGCGGACAATGAGGTTGCAGGCGTCCACGCAGGCCTGGATGGCCGGGGCGGCTTGCTTCAGACTGCCACACCACCCCTGCACCGGCTCAGGGCCTTTCTCTGAGGAAGCCAGGGGGGAAGGCGGCTCTGGAAGGACCATCCCCTCCCCACCTGGGGCTGTCCCCCCTCTGCTGTGTCTGGGGTTTGGCCCACAGCTGGCCTGCCCCTGGGGCCCCCTGCGCCTCACCCAGCTTCTCCAGGGCCATCTGCACCAGCCCGTTCCTCCTGCACTGCTGGAAGAGCAGCTCGCTGTGCGGCAGGCCCAGCGCCGCCGCCTCCCCGGGCCCCACCGACCACCGTGTGGAGCCATTTGGTAGGTGGGTCCCCGGGTCCCCCACGGCTGAGCGGGTCTGTGGGCCCACATGCATCCGCAGCAGCTGGGGCAGCACCCTCAGGAACACCTCGAGAGGGAGATAAAAGGTTTGCCTCTATACCCAGGCTGCCTCCTCTCTGGGCACGCTATTTACCCCCCTCCGTGCCTCAGTTTCCCCGTCTGTGAGAATGCGATGACGGTAATCCCCGGGTCACGGGGTTGAGGTGGAGATGCTGTATGTGTAATACAGGGCCTCGCAGGGTGCCGAGCCCCCGAAATGATCACTCGTCCATTCTGGCAAATACTTCAAGGACGAAGAAGGGCAGGCTTGCCTGCGGAGCGTGGTCGGTGGGGACAGGTCCAGGGCGGGGACACATGGGTGTGCACTGGGTGGGTAAGAGGAGGCGGGGTGGGCAGGGAGGGCCTTGCCTTGCGGACCCTGCGGGCCATGGCGTGGGTGTGTGGGGACCGCAAAGAGATGTTGAGCACCACCACGGCATTGACGACAATGAGGATGGTCACCACCAGGAGGAAGGTGAGGTACCTACAAGTGGGTGGGGGAGGACAGGCTGACCCTCAGCCACCCTCAGGGCCAGATGCCACCCACCCTCCAGGTCCCCTGTGCTAGGAGTTGGCCTCGGGGCTGGTGGGGGGGGTGGCAAGAGGGCAGCGTAGGAGCCCTTGGGGAGGCGGGCAGGGTGAGGACCGGCTGCCATACTTGCTGATGAGGGGCACCGCCTGGGACGTCTCGGGCACCTTCTTGGCCACCAGGAAGAGGAACACAGTCTGGGCCAGGAGCACGTTGATGGCCACGGTACACTTCTGGCCACCCGCTGCCCGAGACCGAGAGGCCACTCAGAGCAGCACTCAACCACCAACACCCATGGGGGCGCCCACTGCCCAGCCATGAGTGGTGGTGCCCCCCCAAATGATCTACCCACATCCCCTGTGCTGCCCCCGGGGGCTACGAGCCGCCCCCCGCCCGGAGGCAGGTACCCTTGGCTGGCAGGAAGTAGATGAGGCTGGCCACGGAGGAGATGAGCACGCAGGGGGCGATGATGTTGATGACGTAGAAGAGGGGCTTGCGCTGAATGAGCAGGTAGAAGCCCACCTTCTGATGGCCAGCCTCCTCGGCCGGTGCTGCCTCATCCAGCAGCATCTTGGCTGCCCGGTGTCTGATGGCCCACTCGCCATTCTCTGCAGGCAGCAAGGAGTGGGCACGGTGTGGGGCGGGTGTGTGTGTGTGGGGGGCAGGCATTACCAGGGGGAGACAGACAACAGCGTGGGCTCTCTGGTCCCCTGCAACACTGAGGTCACTGGATGAGGAAACTCAGAAGCTGGTTGGGCCTCTTTAAAACTCGATCTCCCTCCATGGGAAAATGGACAGAGGGCAGCATTTACCCAAGGACACAGTCCAAGGGTGGGGATAGCAGGAGGAATGAGAACCGGGAACGGGGTGGGTGGGGTGGAAGTGGAGCCATGAGGTACCTCTTGGGGACTGTGCTGGACAAGCTGAGTGTTCCTGTGTGCAAATTTTTGGCTGTAAAGCTGCGGTATGACCTAATTCACAGCAAAATGTTTTTTAATAAGGAAGAAAGCATGAGAGCTCAGACGGATAGTGCATTTCGTGGGGTGTTATTCTGAGTGGCTCCGACTCAAGGCCACCCCGTGCGTGCCAAACTGCCCTGCGAGGCTTTCAAGGCTGGGCCTTGCAGGAATGGATGGCCAGTCCTTTCTTCCTCTGCACCTCTGGGGGCCTAGAATGACCCACCATTCATAGCAGTTGAGCACTTAGCTATTTGTACCCCCAGGATTGATTGACAAACAGCTGTCTTGGAAGAAGTAAGGCCAGAGTGCTCCTGAGGGGCAAGGATGAAAAGACTTCGTCTCACGTGCTCTGGACATGTTGTCAGGAGAGACCAGTCCCTGCAGAAGGACATCGTGCTGGGGAAAGTGGAGGGGCAGCGACAAAGAGGATGGATGGACACAGTGGCTGCAGGCATGGGCTCGGGCACGGGCACAATGGTGAGGCTGGCGCAGGCCCGGGCAGCGTTAGGTTCTACTGTACATCGGGTCACTACGGGTCAGAACGGACTCCATGGTGCCTGACAACAACAACAGGGCTGGCGGCAGGGTGGACCTGGAGTCACCCGGGAGCAAGGCTTCAGCTTCACGGCTTGGCTCCTAAGGCTTGGCCTGGCTCTCGACCTACAGCTGGGTCCAGGAGGGGCCCCCGGGGAGGCTGCTGCGGGCATCCCTGGCTTGGGTACCTGTGAAGGCCTCTGGGTCGATGAAGATCCACTCGATGGTCTGACCGCCCTCCTGGCTGAGCTGTAAATTGATCTCGTTGGTGCTGTAGGTCCGGGACCTGGGAGGGGGAGGGAAAGAGAGTAAGTGGTTGGTGTGGGCAGCCCCCTGCGGGCGCACAGGGACAGTCACCTGAAGGGCAGCTGTGGGCAATGTTGCCTCCAAGGGGGCAGCTTTGTGCGTCTGAGTCTGCCCCAATGGGCCCTGAGACTTTTGGGGCTCAGGGCCACCCTATGCCTACCCAGCTGCTCGCTGCTGCCCGGGCACGATAGGTGCCCAGTGAGAACTCAGGGAATCACCTCCTGCCCAGAGAGCTGCCCTCAGGGCTCTTTCCTAAGGGAGCCCCTGACGCGGAGGTCCCCTCGGCCAGCAACTTGGGGGCGGGAGTTAGGGGCCAGCTGTGTGCCTGGGTTAACCGCTCTTCATCAGATTGGCCAGGATTTTCTCCCAAGTGCCTCTGGCTGGGTCTGACCTGCCAACCTTCCTATCACCTGGACCCCCTCCTGACATTTATGGAGGGGGGAACAGCCCCAGAGTCCCTCCCCATGGAGGGCCTGACTCCTCGTTCCTCATAGGACTGCCCCTGCTGGTGAGTGTGCAAGGCCCTGTGTGTGCTCACACACACATGGGCAGGCAGGCATGCCTTCCCTTCCACGGACCCACCCCAGCCCTGAGTGTCTCCCTTGGGTGCAGGCTGGGGAACTGAGAGGGGCTGGAGCACCTTCAGGCGTCACTGCCCAAGATGCCATTGGGGGCCTAGAGAGGTGGCCTGACCTCTGGCTTCCAGCCTGGGGCCCAGCAGGGACTAGCAGCTTTCACCGGTTCCCCTCGAGCCAGGCCCCCCTGCCCCTCCCCCCCCATGCCCCACATCTGCCCAGCCAGCCCCCTCTCGGCCCAGCTCCTGAGCACCTCCTCCCAAGCAGGCACACACACACCCACCCCCGCCCCAGGCCGACCTCCTTCCCGGCCCTGGGGAAACCGCAGGGGTTTCAAGGCGGCGACCTCCCTTTGGCCTTTTCCCCGGGGGTTCCCCGGGTGGGTTTGGACAGCCAACCTTCTGGTTAGCCATCAAGCTGTTTGTGGGGCCCAGAGACCCCCTGGGGCCTCACTGGAAGATGAGGGAGCAGTTCTGCCAGTCGAAGGGGAAGTAGGTGACGGAGATGGGGCAGGAGGAGCGGAAGATGGCGGGTGGCAGCCAGTAGATGCAGCCGTTGGGGGACACCAGCACGTTGCAATAGAGGGCCACCTCGAACATGCCGTCCACACTGTGGGCACAGGACAGGATGTGGGCTGGGGCCCACGGAGACCCTCCACCTCTGTGGGCGGGGGCACGGGCATTGTCCTCTCCGAGCCCTCCACCCTGACCCCTCATTCACTCAATGCCACCAATTTGATGGTGCTTCGTGGCAACCCTAGAGGGCGGGGTAGAACGGCCGGAGGCATTTCTGAAGCTGCCACTTTACAGGTGTAGAAAGCCCTGCCTTTCTTAGAGCTGCTGGTGGTTTTGAACTGCTGACCTTGCTGTTAGCAGCCCAGGGTATAACCACTAGGGCTCCTTGCCCTGCCTCCAGGACTCACTAACCCAGTACAGCTGCCCCACAGGGTTTTGTATGGAAGCAGATGGCCTCATCTTTCTCCCTCAGAGTGGCTGGTGGGTTTGAACCAGGGACCTTGGGGTTAGACGTTCACTCCTTAACCCATTGTTTGACCCATTGTGCCATCAGGGTTCTTCAGGAACCACTACCTTCCCCAATCTCCCCCCGCCCACACACACACACCTATAGCAGGCTTCCTCAGACCCTGCCCGAGGATTACAAAAAACGTTGATTACAACCATTAAGAGAGTTATGGCAGCAAGCATCCCTGAGCTCTCAGGTGTGCCAGGCCCGCTCCACATTCCCTAGGCCAGTACTCCCACCTCCCACAGGATCACTGTCGTCCCAGGGGACAGCCCGGAGCTGATGGGACTGTCCAGAACCAGCCCTGCCGGCCCCCGTCATACTCGGTCATACTTGGTCCGTATCCCTGGAGCCTGTATCATCTAGAACTTTCCCAAGCCCCCTGTTCAGCTGGGCCCCACCCCCCCATGGCCTCCCCGGACCCCATGGGCCCTCTCACTTGTTCTCCAGCACGATATCCGGCTGCCACACCATGCTGGATGGCACCCGAAGCACCCACAGGTCCTCGTAGTCCTGGGGGTCCCAGCGCAGGCGGTAGTCGCACCATTGCTGTGTGGGCAGGGTGGAGGTGGGGCTAGGCCTCCTCTGCCCTCTGCTGACCCCCACCTCCATTACGGAGTGGGAGGCCTGCCCGGAAGGGGCAGGGAGGGCAGGAGTGGGCTGAGCCTCACCATCTCGATCCAGACGTTGGTAGTGAGGGCCTCCTCGCGTTCATTCTGGGGGTGCAGGGCGGAGGGTGAGCCCGAGGTCTGGGGTGCCCCGCGGGCCCCTCCCTCCCCAGGCCAGGGCTCACCAGGGAGATGAGGTTGGTGAGCGTGAGCTTCAGGCTGACGTTGACCACGTCGGCCTCTTGCTCGGCCGGCCGCACGTGGGGGTCGTAGCTGCGCATTAAGTCAGCAAGCAGGCGCTCCTCTTGGTTGCGGCCCCAGACGCCTGCAACAGACCCCCGTGAGCAGGCAGCAGGGGCCACAGGAAGCAGGGGGCACTGCTGGGCCTCCCCCCCACCCCCCAAGCCTTGGAGCCCAGCTGGGCACCGCCAACCGGGCCCCAGGTCCCCCGAGTCCACACCTAGGCCACTGGCCAGCAAGGGCAGGAGCAGCAGCAACCTCCGGTCCCCATGCATGGCGCCTCGGCTTGGCTCTCCTGGGCAGCCTGCGTGCGGACGGTCCCTCCCAAGGTCTGGGGCAGATGCAGGTCTCATGTGACCCAAGCCCCGCTCCCACCGGTTGTCTGGCTGTCTGGCCCGGCCCCTCCAGCTGTCTGCCCACAGCACGGTCAGCTGTCATTCGGCACACAATGCTGGACTCGAGTTACCTGGGCTTCGGAGGAGGGCAGGGGGCCCCCGACTCCCCACTTTGACTCATTGGTCCCTGTCCTATGCCCATGAGCACCCAGGTGCCAGCACCGGGCCTCCTGACCCTCCAGGGGGTTGGGCCCTGGAAGGGACAGAGGGCTGTTTGATAGCTGTACACGGTACATGAGTGTACATCCCGATGGGCACAGTGGGTTAAAGTTGGTGGTTCAAACCCCACCAGCGCTCCGAGAGAGGAAGATTGTTTGATTCCATATCGCCGCTTCACTACGGGTAGGAATCCGTTTGACAGCTGGGGGGTGGGGGAGGGAAGACTATGACAGATGGGCCTCAAGTCCCCCCATCAGTCTGACATCTTCATGGGCTCCTCCATTGGTCCAAGACTCCAGAGCATCAAGGGACACAGGAGAGGGGGCACCATCACCATTGGGCATCTCCACCTTGTTTTAGCTTCCCGGGGCCAGATGTCATACCTGGGTCCTCCCTCTGGAGCCTGCATTCTCTAGAACAGCAGTTCTCAACCTTCCTCGTGCTGTGACCCTTTAATACAGTGCCTCATGTGGTGGTGACCCCCAACCATAACATTATTTTCATTGCTACTTCATCACTGTCATTTTGCTACTGTTATGAATCATCGTGTAAATATTTGATAAGCAGGATATATTTTCATTGTTTCAAATGGAACAGAATTAAAGCATAGTGATTAATCACAAAAACGATATGGAATTATATATTGTGAAATATTTATTTCTAATGACAAATACATGAAATTTTGTCTTGAAACATGGTGTAGCATGGGTAACAGTCTTCTCTCCGGGTACTTGCCATGTGGGCGGACCCGCCTGGAGACGGATAGAGGAGCGGTGTCTCAGTTCTTCAGACCATCGGAAATATGTGTTTTCTGATGGTCTTAGGTGACCCCTGTGAAAGGGTGGTTCGACCCCCAAAGGGGTCGAGACCCATAGGTTGAGAACCGCTGCTCTAGAACTTCCCAGACCCCTTGTTCAGCTGGAGCCCCACATTAAGCTGCACAACTGCAGGCAGGTGCTCTGGATCTCACAATTTCAGACACTAAAAGGCCATGTTGGGCGGGTCCCCTCTGGTCAGTGACCCTGGCTGTTCCCTGATGTTCCTCATCTTGTGGACAGTTTCCCACACGGTCCCTTCCGCTGTGTGTGTTTTTCCCTGTGCCTGTATTTCTTACCCACTCAGGGAGGGGTAAGAAATCCTGGTGGGGCTGCTGGGTAAGTGTTGGACGGCTAACCACGAAGTTAGCAGTTCAAATCCACCAGCCCTTCTGAGGGAGAAAGATGAGGCTGTCAGCTCCTGCACAGATTTCAAAACTCAAAGCCAAACTCACCGGCAGCGAGTCGATTCAGACTCACAGCGACCCTCCAGAACAGGGCAGCACTGCCCCTGTGCGTTTCAGACTGTCCCTCTTTATGGGAGTAGCTAGGAAGCCTCGTCTTTCTCCAGAGGAGCGGCTGAAGGTCCGACTGCTGTGCACTGATGTAGCAACCCCCACCCACCCACCCCCGTGTAACTCGACTCCACCAGGGCTCCTGAGTAGGGATGTACAGCCTTGGGAAACTTACACGGGTTGCTATGATCAGAACGCAGAAGAGATTAGGGTTAGGGCCCAGAGACTTCATGAACGTCACATCACCATTTCCAAACAGGGTCACTTTCCCTGGGACACATTCAGTCCAGCCCCTCAGACTCCTTGCCAAGAGCTAGGACGACGGGTCGGAGTCTTGTCCACCAACCCCACCCCCGCCACACACACACACACACACACACACACACACACACGGGCCCAGGGAGTGGGACACAGCCCAGGTGAGCTTTGATGTGGGGCGCTGAGAAAGATCCAGAACTCAGCCTCTGTGGGGGTCCCTCCAATAGACACTAGGGAGTCCCTCTGGTGTGGGGGTAGCAGAGGCAGATGGGGGAAGGGGGGAACAACTGGGAAAGGCAGGACCAGGACACAGAAGGTTGTGCTCAGGCTGGCTCAGGTCCCAAGAGCCTGGTGGCCAGCTGTTGGCATGACCCCCGGTCACCTGCTTGGATCCATCTACTTACTCCGGGCAGACAGGCTGTCCTGTCACAGTGTGGGGGCAGGACAGAAAACTCTGGTCCAATTTGTACACACACACACACACACACACACACATCTGTTGAGGGCTCCGATGAGCCCCTCCTTCTGCACAGTGGCCTATAGGGAAACTGGAAGTTGGCAAGCTTCCCGACCCTTGGAGACTCAAATGGAGCTGGCTTTGATACCTGTCCCGCTAGGCAGAGGGACCACAAGCCCCTTCTGCCCTCACCAGGACTTTATGGGGGGCAATGGTGGCTCCTGTCTCTCCAATCATCTCCTCCACCAACCCTGCGTCCAGCCTCAGCCCTGCTCCATATGACCCCCCCCTTCTCCTGAGAGCCCTCTCCAAGGGCTCTCCCTCCCCGTTGGTGCTGGGGCAGGGGGCGGAGGCCCTAGACTCAATTCCCTCCTCTTTGCAGCACCATCTCTCTAACCCCACATCTCCCCAGACTCATCCCTGGTCTCTGCTGAGGAGTGGACCTCCTACTCCAGCCTGCCCAGCCTGCCCCGGCCCCCACGTCCACCCCCAGGACAGAGGTGGTCTCGATGCTTTGGAAACATCAAGTCTCTTGGAGGGAAGAGGCCAATGGGACTGCTCCCCTGTGGTGTGAATGATGACGAGTTGCCTTTCTGCTTGTCCTCTGCTCTGGGGAGGGAGGACAGAGGACTGTCCCAGTGTTCCCTGGTGGCCTGCCATCTTTGAGGTGACTTCCTGTTCTCTTGAGGGGTGAGGGGGCATGACCCATTTAACAGAGAATCAAATGGAGACACTGTTGCTAGTCCTTGGTCACCTCCAATGGTGCAGGCTGGAAAAGGGAAACACTCATTTCCCAGGCTCCCTTGGGCAGGAGGGATAATGGCTTGGCCAATGGGAAGTTGACGGAGGGCCTTGGGGTAGGAGGTGGAGGGAGCGCTTGCTTCCTGCTGATGGGGCAGACAGCTGGGTGTGGAGTGTGTTGCTGTAGCAGTCATCTTGCACTCTGGAGACTGCAGGTCCCAGGACAAAAGACCGGAAAACTGAGCCTGCAGCAACGAGCCTGGGTCTCTAATAGCTCTGGTGGACAGCTGAGCCAACGGAGGCACTGTGCTTTGAAAGGAGTCAGGGTGGCCAGCCTGGAGAGACTGTGCAGGGACCCCCCAGCCTTGGCTACATGGGAAGCTGGCCCCCGTGGAGAGGGGGGCAGTCCTGACTGAGCACCTTAGGATGGAAGGTGCTGTGGCTCAGTTCCTGGACAAAGGCACCCTCGATTGTTGGCGACATGTGCGGGTCACGGTCTCTGAAAGGTTCAGTCACCCACGTCAGGTTCCCCCGGTGGTAGACTGTGTTAAGAGAAGCAACAATTATGGTCGAGAGACCTGGATTCAGGCCACCTGGAGGAGTCCCTGGCGGTATAGTGGGTTACGTGTTGGGCTGCTTCACTGCAAGGTCAGCAGTTCAAAACCACCAGTTTCTCTCCTTGGGAGAAAGATTGAGGCTTTCTGCTTCTGTACGATGGTTAGTCTCAGAACCCTATAAAGTCCTTATGAATTGGAACCTACTTAAACACTGGGGTGGTGCCAACAGTTAACACATTCAACTGCTGAGTTCAAGTCCACCCAGACACGCTGCGGAAGATGCCTGGCGATGTGCTTCTGAAAAATCGGCCGGCCGTAGAGGGCCTTGCAGCGAGCAGTTCTACTCTGGCATGCATGGTCACCGAGAGTCGGAATCAACTGGGTGGAAATTGTGTGGGAGCTCTGGTGGGAGATTCTGGGCTCTCTGCTCACAGGTCCAAGCTGGCCCCTTTCGGAGGAAAGAGTGTGGGAAGGTCACGCTGGAAGATGGAAGCAACCAGAGTGAGTTTGGAATGCATTTTCCCCTGGGTTACAGGTAAAGATGAGACGGATCCCGCCGTCCTGATGGCTGAGTGAGGCCCTCCATTCCCGCCGAGGGGAAGCCCGGAAGCCTGTACCCCAAGAAAGTGAAGAACGGGACCGAGGTTGTGCTGTGGGTGAGGCCACTCCTGGGGTGAAAGAGGAGGCTGTCCACTTCTATAAAGATCAGCAGGCTCGGAAACCCAGCTTAGGGTCACTGTGAGTCAGAATCAACTCTTTGCTGGTTTGTTTGCATGTGTGCGCTCGTTCTTAACAGAAGATGAACAGTAGTCAGACACTCCTTAGGCTGTTAGGCAAAACGTTGGTGGTTCAAACCCACGTGCTGCCCTGAAGTCGTTCTGGTATAGACAGGAGTCCGGGACACAAGGCCTCACCCACCTCCGGGCGTCCCTGTGTGTCAGAATCCACAGCAGAGGCTCTTTGTGTCTCCCGGAAGCAGAGGTCAGGGTGAAAACTCCTCCTGGGGGCCCAAGGACCTCCTGTGACCCAGGTGAGCATACACAGGTACCTTCCCTCCAGTTCGAACATCCTGTGTTACACTTCACTGCAGTGAAGAAGCGGAAGGCACGTGGCAGGCAGCAGCCAATGGCAGAGCTGGGCCCAGGCTGCCTCCGTTGTTTATTGCTACATTAAGGTTATCCCCAAACTTACAAGGGCACAGGAACCCGGAGCGCTCAGCTGGGTGGCCCTGGTTCAAGGACTTTCATGAGTTGCTGCACCCGAGGGCACCTCCAGGCTAGAGCGGTGCTCCCCAAAGTGGGCGGTGTCGCCCCTGGTGGGAAATGCAGGAAGGACCCCGGGGACTGTGAGAGCGGACACCCCTCTTTTATCCTGGGTTCGGGCTATCTATGGTACAAAAGCTTTTCCCTCCCAACAGGGCATAGAGTTGTTTTTTCCCTGAAAAGGGGGCAGGAAGCCAGATAGGCTTGGGAACCCGTGAGCTAGAGGATGGCCTTCCAAGCGCGTCCCCCTGGCTGTTGGCCTTAGTTCCTTGTTGAGAGAACCTCAACATGACAGCTGGCTTCTCAGTGAGAAGTCCAGCTCTCAGGGATGTGAATGCACGCATGCATGCATGCACACGCACCCCGCAAACCCCCCCCACCACCCCACACACACGGCGTCTCTCTCCTATGACGCCATCACAGAGATCCATCCTGGCCCATGGTGGGAGAGGACTCCTGGACATTTGGACCAGGTGGTCCTGGAGTCATTTTGCAGGCAGGCTACCACAGAGACCCATGTCTCCAAGTCCTGTGACACGATTGAATGGGGGCTCTCCTGGGATGTCAGAATTAGCCAATAGAAATAAAAGGGTACCATCACTTTTCAGCATAAAGTATGTTCCAAATACTGCATAGCCACTCTGAGGAGGAGGAGGGCAAGCAGGAGGAGGTGCCCAAGACCGAAGGCACCGAGTTCTTAGGGTGACATGTGACCTGAGGGCGACAAACTGACCCCAGGCCTTTGTGGGCACTGAGACTGACCCTTCCATCCAAGGCATGGGGCTCCCACAGGGCCCAAAGGGACTAAGGTCTTAAGGGCAGGGACAGGCTACAACCCTATAGCACTCTCTTCCTAAGGACAGAGGGGGAAGTCCCCAGTCTGAGCCTGAGGGCTGAGTGGCAGCAGGGCAGCTAGAGGAACTGGGAATGCAGGGCCCAGAATCCTCTGGAGAAGGGGAGGCAGACAGGCTATGCCTTGTCCCCCAGGTCTTCCTGAGCCACTATAGAGTTCTCTGGGAAGGCTTGCCTTTGCTGACCCCTGACCCAGGGTCCTGGCCACTCCTTCCACAGCCTAGGCCCCCTCTTAGTGAAGGAACCACTGGACAGTGAGGCTTCCCCTGTGCCCACGCATCTTCCTTCTCTGTCCTGGCCTTGAGGGACCACCAGCTGGGCTGACAGCTCAGGCTCAGGGCCAGCAGCCGGCATTCCCAAGGGCAGCCAGGGTGTCTCCTCTCAGACACACGTCTCTCGGGCAAAGGCCCCGACTGCTGCCGCAAGGAGCCCGCCTCTAGATGAAGCGCTTGTCCTTTTCTTGATAGGAGAAGGGGTCCCCGGGGAAAGGCTGAGGAGGAGGCTGGTTGTAGACGCCCTGCAGGAAGATCCAGGTCGTGACCACCACCATGATGGGCGTCACCAGAAACAGGCAGAGGCGGTCTACAGTACGGGACACGCGGTTCCAGCAGTCCTTCTCCTAAAGAGGGAAGGGGCAAAGACAGGGGGGCAGGAGTGTGTGTGGCACAGGCCCAGGGCCGAGGCCGAGGTGTGGCCTTGGTTTGTCTAAGGGAAGGGCCTTGGGCTGGTGGGCGGCTGAGACAAGCGGACACTCAGTGTCTTCAGCAAGGGCCCAGCCCCTCCAGCCACAGTCAGGCCTGGCCAGGAGTCTGTTGAAAGTGGGGGAGGTCACGGCTCCTAGTGCAGAGCTCCAGGGAGCCAGAGAGGAGCTAAGTGCTGGGGCTTGGGGTGGGGGAGCATAAGAGGTTTGCTGAGGAATGGGGACAGGCTCTCCCTCGTTTCTCCTCAGCTCCCCAAGCCCCTTGGGATTATATGAGCCCCGTTCTTCCCAAGGAAGACTGTAGACAGCAGCATGGCCTGGAGCTGCCTTTGAAACGCCTGGCTTGGTCTGGTGTGTCAGGGGTGGAATCAGGCAAGGTGGGAAACGATGGGCACTTGGGTGTGGGAAGGGCTTAAGGGTGGGTGAGATACCATGGGGTCAGCAGGAAGGAGTGGCCTTCCCTCCTCGGAAGCGTACAGCCGCTCCCTCGGGGAAGCTGGCATGTATCTCTGGGAGGAATTGTGCCCTCTTCCGACGGGACATGCTTGCGCAGTGCCCTGCGTGAGCCCCTGCCCGCGGCGGCCCTGGGCCTCACCTCGTTGTAATTGTTCTGGTCCCGCATGTGGTTGACGATGAAGTTGGCCCCGTCCACAGCTGGCTTCAGCTCACTGAAGAGCTCCTGCTGAGTCTGCTTGGAGCCTGGTGGGGGTCGGCCTGTGGACACCGGGCGGAGGTGGGTGTGAGGCCAGACGCCCGCCCCCACCTCCCATGGGCAGGCCGAGTCCCAAAGCCCCCGGGACTCACGTGCGGTGGTGAGGCGCCGGGCCAGCCCGTGCCGCTCCGACTGCTTCTCAAACATGAGGTCGCTGCGGGACTTGAGGGAGAAGTACTCCTCAGCCTTCGAGATGTAGCCCACCGAGCTGCTCCTGCGGACCAGGGTCCCAGGGCCGGGCCCGTCCTCCGCCGGGTGGGACATGTGCAGCAGTTCAGGCAGGGTCTCCAGAAAGAGCTGTGGGGGGTCGGGGCGACACGGGAGGACCTTCTTACACCCTGAGCTCGGGCTAACAGTATGCCTCCTTTCCTGTCACAGGGTCCTCCCCAGCAGGACCCTCATCACATATTGACGGACACGTGGGTACTTCTAACACTTGCTCATTGAACACAGTGCCGCGCACGATGCCGTCATTGAAAACAAGTTCTGTAGTTGGTCATGTGTTTCATGATTCTGATCAACCTCCTACTTCGATGTGTGGGGCCTGGAATCTCTAAAGGGTGCACGCACGCAGCCATCCAAGGCACCACACATTGGTCTCTAGTTTCCTGGAGTAACCAGGAGGCAGAAGGGAAGTCAGGAAAAGGAGGAGGAGGATGTGGAGCTGCGGCCAATCGCTTCCAAGAACAAGGGCCTCCTTTGCTATGAGACCGGAAGAAGTGTATGGTGCCCAACTCCCAAGACTGAACATTTCGATCACAGAGTCTATAGGAGAATCCTGATCAAAGGGGGAAGACCACAGCACAGAGCTCCTTTTCAAAGCCCTGAGGTCATCTTTAAACCGTCAAGCAGAAACCGCCCTTCAAGTTGTCTTAAAACCAAACAATAGTCCATCTTCACTAGTAACAAAAAGCTGGGTCTTGTGCACTGTGGTCTTTGGCGCACTCTCTAGATGGGATGAAACTGACAACAGCAACAGGCAAGGGCGACAGGAATTTAGGGGCAGGGAGTTCACGTGACTGGGGAAGGGTTGCACAGGATGAAGCAGATGGCCCGTGGCCCTGAGTCTGTGCAGGCAGCAGAAGGAACGGGTGTATGTTTTCCTGTGAACATTCTCAACAACAATGAAACAGGTTTTAAAAATCAACTATATATTGAGAATAAAAATCCCTACGGGAGGAGTGGATGCACAGTGATAATAACTGACACAAGGGTTGACGGGGGATGCAGGGGTGGGGGATACAGAGGGGCAACCAACGAAGGCCATGGCAAAGAGGGAGCTCTAGAACAATTGTGATCACACAACTCTTTAAAGGCAACTTAACCATGGGGGCGGGGGGAGAGAGAATGCTAGAATCTATGCGGTACTGATTGTACAATTCTTCTTGCTATGTTTGAACGACGGAAGAGAAAAGAAAAATTCCCCACTCCCAAGTGCTTCCCTCCAAACTCGCTGCCATTAAGTCAGTTCCTAATCACAGTGACCCTACAGTACAGAGCAGACCTGCCCCGTGGGTTTCCAAGACTGAAACTCTTTACAGGAGTAGAAATCCCAGCCTTTCTCCTGCAGAACGGCTGATGGTTTTGAGCAGCTGACCTTCCGGTGAGTAGTCCAATATGTCCTACTCCACCAGGGCTCCTCCCAAAGGAGGTAAATTGCCAAATTTCCCATGGAATTTGCTAAACCCCCCTCACCTCAGCATCTTTACTCTCTTCTTCTTAACTGAGGCACAACGAACATGAGGAGGCTGGTGGCATCGTGTGATAAGCATTGGGCTGCTAATAATAAGGTTGGTGGTTCAAACCCACCAGCTCACTCTGAAGGAGAAGGAGGAGTCTATTGGCTCTATGAAGACGGACCACCTGGGAGCTCCACATAAGAGTTTACTCTCCCCTACAGGGCCACTACGAGTCAGAATCAAAGGCAGTGGTGGCTTCGCTTATACCCAACACATAACAAAACAAGCTAGCCTCAAGTAGAGGGTGGGAGGGGTCTGATGAAGATTTACAGAGGCATTCAACTGTGTAAGACACCACACTGGTTAGATGGTGAATACTACCCCGAAGGGGTCAGCTCCTGCTCACTCCCAGAGCTGGGCTGCCCCGGATATCCATCACCCAAACTTGGCTTTGCCTGTCCTTGGATTCAACAGGCATGAAAGCATGGCTGCTCTCTTACTTCCGGTCTCCTCAACCGATCATTCCATGTTTCTGTCACATCGAGTAGGATTGCACAATCCGTTTCCCCCACTTTGGGCGGCTAATTAACCCTTTAGAGACCTCAGTGTCCTGCAGCCAGCACAGTTCTCTCGTCATCATGACCGTCACCGTACACAGAAGCAGAAACTCTTCGCTTTCTGGATGAGTCCCCCCCTGCCACTCTCCAAAGCTGGTAACCACTACCAACCCTTGGTCTCTGCAGTTCCCTGGTTCTAGACGTTTCCGCGAGGCCTCACCTTCTTGACGCCCTCTGACAGCACGTGGGTGCTGGGCGTTCGAAAATGGATGTTGAGCACGATGACACAGATCACCACGATCATGGCCACCAGCACCATGCCGAAGAGCAGGAACCTGTGGGTGCAATTCTTCCTGGAGCCCCAGCTCAGGGCCAGGGGGCGGGGCCTTGGTGGTCAGGGAGTGGGGCTTGGGGAGGCAGGAGGTAAGCAAGAAGGGATGAGCTCAAGCCAGTGGGTGGGGCCTGGTACCCTGGGGCAGGCTAAGAGAGGTGGGGCCAGGAGAGGTGGGTGGGGCCAAGATAGCGGGTGGGGCCAATTGGTAGGAGGACCAGGCCTGGGAAAGGTGGAGTGGGGCAGCAGAGGTTGCTGAGCTCCTGATTGGCACGGAGAGGTGGAAAGGACCCAGTAGGTGAAGCTGGGTGGGACTGGAGGGTGGGACAGCGTGATAAGGGATGGGATCAGGTGGGTGGGTGGGGCCTGGCATAGACCAGCAGGCGAGGGATGGTAGGGCCAGCCTGGCATGGAGAGGCAGGGCCAGTGGGTGAGGCTGGGTGGAGCAGGAGGGTGGGGCAGACATGTGAGGGGCAGGATTAAGTGGGAGAGTGGCGCCTGGCAACCTAGGGCAGGCCAAGAGGTGGGCAGGCCAGGAGATGCAAGGTGGGGCCTGGAGATGAGTGTGAGATAAGGGGCGGGGCCTGGAGATGTGGCTCGGGCCGGAGGTGGGCGTATCTGGGGCAGGCTGTGGAGCTCACGCACTTGCCAATGAGCGGGATGGCTATGGAGGTGGCCGGCAGCCGCTTGGAGATGAGCAGCAGGAAGACAGACTGTGCCAGCAGCACAGAGACGGCCACTGACATCTTCTCGCCACCTGGGGGAGCCCAGACGGAGTGTCGGCCACCCTGGTTGGTCCCCACCAGCCGCTGAGTCCCCTCCTGCCACTGGACACCAACCATATGCCCAGATTACAAACTTGCACTGGGGAGCCAGAGCCCTGGGTTCAAATCCTGTCTCTGCCACTTCCTACCTGGGCCACTTTGGCCAAGTAGCCTGACCTCTCTGTTTGTAGATCTGTTACATGCGGGGATGAACACCTCCTCGCAGGTGGTATGAGAAGGTGGGCTCTGCCCTCTGCCTGGCACTGGCCCCTGTCACCCTTCCTCCTGACCTGGAGCTCCCTGTTGGAGCAGAGGCCTGCTGGCCTCCTTGTTGAGTGCAAGGCCAAGGTCACCGCCCCCTTCACTAAAGGACCAGCCCATACCTTTTTCCAGGTCTCTGGCCCACAGTCCCCAGCCTGGGAACGCTCACCCAACTCAGGCGCCACCCTTTCCAGGGTTCCTCCCCACCTGCTCCTCACCCTCCTGGGCCCCAGGGTGTCCACCCTGTATGTTTGGCTCACACCTGTCCTTGGGACTGCCTGTGATCCGCTCATCGTTAATCATCTGAACCTGGAGCATGCCAAGCTTGGTAAACAGAAAATAACCAAGCCAACTCACAGCCATTGAGCCTGTTCAGACTCACAGCGACCTTATAGCACAGGCTGGAATGGCCCCTCGGGTTTCTGCAGCTGTAACTCCTAATGACCGGAGAAGGCCTCACCTGAGGGTCAGTGAAAGAGGAAGGCCCTCGACAGTGGCTGCGGCAATGGGCCCATACATAACGACTGTGAGGACACTGCAGGGCCGGGCTGTGCACATAGGGTCGCTGTGAGCTGGAGCTGACATGATACATCCAGTAACAACAGCACCCAAGGTTTGCTTCCTGGACCCCCGTTAGCACGGATTATGTGTCCCATGACCCCCTGGCCTCCAAAAGATCCCTAAGGGACAGTCTAGTGGCTTTCCTGGGGTCCTTGCAGAGCCACCAGGAGCCCTGTCCAGGCAGGGGCGGGCGGATGTCAGGCAGGGTCACGGTGCAGCTCGTGTGGCTTCCCCGGGGTGGGGCAGAACTCACTGTCTGCCGGGAGGTAGAAGACCAGGTTGACCATGAAGGAGATGAGCACGCAGGGCGCCAAGATGTTGATGATGTAGAAGAGCGGCTTGCGACGGATGATGAGGTAGAAGGTGATGTCCTGGCGGTCGAGGCTGTCCAGTGGGACGCTGGGGTCCACGTTGACCCTCGCTGGCCGGTGCACAATCTCCCACTCCCCGTTCTCTGTGAACAGCACACAAAGGCGCTGGGAGGTCGCCCAAGCCAGGAGGGCAGGACCCCAGGGGCAAGAGGGGGAGCAGGGGTGGAGTGGGGGCAGGACCCCAGGGGCAAGAGGGGGAGCAGGGGTGGAGTGGGAGGGGCCAGAGGCCCTAAACCCATATGGAAAGCCTTCTCTGGGACTGATCTTTTTCTCTCCTGGGATAAAGATTGAAGTTAAGGCCACACAGGATTCCATTAGAGAAGTCCTGTTGGCATAGTGCTTATATGTCAGGGTCAGCAGTTTGAATCCACCAGCCAGTCAGTGGGAGAAAGACAGGGCTTCCTACCCCCATAAGTGACAGTCACAGGGGCAGGTGTACCTTGTCCTCTGGGGTCGCTATGAGGTGGGATTGACTCAATGGCAGTGAGTTTGGTGTTTTGGAGTTGGGGCTCAAACGTCCCATGGACCAAACCTAGGTGTGTGCAGATGAAAAAACCAAACTCATCACCATTGAGCTGATTCTGATTCATAGAGACCCAGAGGACAGGGTGGACCCGCCCCTGTGGGTTTCGGAGATGGTCACTCTTTACGGGAGCAGAACGTTTTGTTTTTCTCTCACAGAGCGATTGGTGGTCTTGAACTGCGGACCTTTTGGTTATCAGTTCAACTCATAACCACCAGCTAGACCTACTCCCACATGTAGCCACCAAAGTTTCCATCTCAGTTGTAAGGCTTGTCTCCCTATGAAGACCAGTGATGCCAGCGTGGGTAGAGCCACCCTCCTAGGCCTGGGTCCTGGCCACGGTGTAGGCAGAGGGAACTCTTTCCCCATGGCGGGCCAGGCTTGGGAATAGCAGGTCAAGGGTCTCTTCTGATGAGTGGGTCCGCAGCGAGGCCCCTCCCAAAATCTGAGCCTCATTACAGGTGGGGTGAGAAGTGCTGTGTGTGTGTGGGTGACATAGGGTCCTTCAAGACAGGATGACTCTGCTGGGCACCTACATCTGTTATCCACTTCCACCCCAGAGAGCACTGCCCAAACAGCAGGGGCTGGGCAGGGGCCCTGGCGCTGGCCTATCTCTGGGGCATAGACATGCTGAATGTGTGTGTGTGTGTGTGTGTGTGTGTGTGTGTGTGTCTTTGTGTATTGGGACGTGTGGGTGGAGTCTGTGTGTCTGCGTCTCTCTGTGCGTCTGTGTGTACACACACATGCCTTTCTAGGGAGTATGTGTCCTGTGTCTGTCTATGGGGGTGTATCTGCAAGGGTCTATCTGTGTGTCTATTTGAGTGTGTCTCTATAGGGGGACACCCATGTGGCAGTGTTTCATCCAGGTGTGCCTAAAGAGGTGTGTGTGGGTGTGGGTGTGCCTATTTGGGAGATGTCTATGGGTTAGGGGGGACCTTAATCTCCTGGTAAGTTTTGACTCACAGAATCACGCGTGGGAAAGAGGTGGGTGCAGCTGGATGGGAAGAACAGGGTGTGCCTTGCGGGGTGTCCCTCCAAACCTGTGAAGCCCTCGGGGTCGATGATGATCCACTCCACAAAGTACTGGTGGTCCTCTTCAGCCTCCTGCTTCAGGCTCAAGGTGATCTCCTTGGCCGTGTACTTGAGTGAGCTGGGGAGGGCAGTGAGCAGAGGTTGGCACCCAGCCACTGGCAGGACCAGCAAGCAGGGCTCAGGCTGGGCCTCGGGCACTCTAGTCCGGATGTGACTGGAGAAGCAGCTGCACCTGAACTTGAGGGAGCAGTTCTGCCAGTCGAAGGGGAAGTAGGTGACGGAGATGGGGCAGGAGGAGCGGAAGATGGCGGGTGGCAGCCAGTACACGTAGCCTGAGGGGTAGAGGAGCACGTTGCAGGAGTAGGATATCTGGAAGGAGCCGTCATTGCTGGGGGGCAAGGACAAGGGACGCAGTGAGGGTGGGCCAGCCCAGAACCAGCAGGGCTGGGGGTGCAGGGGGAGGGGGAGGAGGGGGGCATCAGAGATGGAGCTGCAGGGGGAGGAAGAGGAGGAGGCAGTGGGAGCTGGGGGTGTGGGGCAGGCGGGAAGGGAGGGCCCTTAGAGCAGGGGCTGCAAGGGGAGGCTGAGGGCCCTTAAAGAAATGAAGTCGAGGGATGGGAGGGAGGAATTGGGCCCAACTTATTCTCCAGCACTATCTCTGGAAGCCACAGTAGTTCAGCAGGCAGGCGCAAGATACTGATGTTTCCAAATTCCTCGGCATCCCACTGCAGACGGCTGTCGGTCCAGCCCTGGAGGCCCCAAAGGCATGTCAGTGGGACGCTGCTGCTGTCCCGGCACCCCCATGGCTCCTTCCTCCCCTCCTGTCCCCTGGGGTCCCCTGTACAAGGTGAAGAGAATCTGTAATAAAATCAGGCCCCCCAAATAAATAAATAAAATCAGACCACTGTGATAGTCCTCCCCTGACAAAGTAACTGAAGGGCCTGGGGTCCAGGCTGCTCCAAGTTGGGAAGGGCAGCTGGGTGTGTGGCCCTCTGTTGGCAGAAGTCACTTCCTCCTGCAGGGCAGTGTCTGGGGCAGGCCGGGTCCCCAGCTGCAGTGGGCCCTGCCCCCCACCCCTGCTCCTGGGGTGCCCTTACATGCTCTATCCACACGTTGGTGGTGAGGGTCTCCTCCACTTCTTTCTGTAATCAGACCAGAGGGTGTCCCTGGGTGGGGGCCCTTCAGGCAGTCTCCAGGCATCTACTCCGCTGGCCCGGATAGAACTCTGGTCATCAGGCCCCCCAGGCCCCCCACCATGCACTTGCTGCCGGGAATGGGAGGGCCAGTGACTTGTGGCGTGTGTCCTGAGGTCTGGGGTGGGTGGTGGACACCCCAGAGCCAAAGCCAGAGGAGACAGAGCAGCAGCCCTGTGGGTACCATGGCTTGTTCCCCAGGCTTTGACACCAGTGGGCCGGAAGGTCCCTCCCTGCCAACCCAGCCTTGGGTGGGGCTCTCACCAGGGAGATGAGGTTGGAGAGGGTGAGGGCCAGAGAGACGTCCACGCTCTCGTCCTTGTGTGCCACGGGCCGGAGCTCCTTGTTGTAGCCCTTCTCCTGGAACAGGTGCCGGATCAGCCGCTCCTCCTCATTCAGGGCCCAGTTGCCTGGGAAGAGGACGGGGCAGGGATGGGAACAGGCACAGGGCTTGGTGTGGAGGAGGACGGGAGCTGCCCAGAGGCCCTGTGGGCCCAGGAAGCAGGATGGCTCATTCCAGGGAATGATGTAGCCAGGGCAGAGAAGGGACTGTGGGAGTCATGAGGGACCCCCAGGGGGCAATGCCCTCCCTTACCAGACATTGCTAAGGTGACCAGCAGCCCCAGCACCAGCAAGGGCCCCTCCATCCTGTCCCTCTGACTGGGGCCTGCATCTGCCCCTCTGTCCTTGTCCCAGGGGCTGAGGAATGTGGGGTGGGAGGAAGAAGGGACAGGTGTGGGGTGAGGTGGGGGGGGATGGCAAAGGGAAGAGGCAGCCGGAAATGCAATCTGACACCTCGAGGCTTAGCGGCAAGCTAGAGAACCAGAGACAGGTGACATGGGGGTGGGGATAGTGCCTGGCTGGCCAGAATGGGGAGGCCAAGTTCCCAGTCTGAGACTCCCCATAGCTAGTGGTAAGGATGGGGGCAGGGGAGAGTACACATCAGACATTGGAGACTTTGTGGTCAGCCAGGGACAGGAGGACGGCAGTCCACCTGCTGCCAGCCCTTGGCTTCTGCAGACAGCTGTGTTCAGATGAGGGGTTTGGTGGCCCCTTTCCAGCCTCCTTGGGACTCCTGCCCCAGGGACTGAAGTTCCACCCCATCTCATCCCCCCAAAAACTCCAGAATCAGCTCCATGGATTACAAATAACATTTATTAAAGCCTCTGTGATTCTCTGATCACTCACACCCAGCCCAGGCCCCCATGTTCAAACTCTATCCGGATACCCCTTCCCCAGCCAACTTGCCCCCACCCCCTCCTCTGGGAGCAGAAGGTGCTGACCAGGGGCTGGTTCTCTTCCATGGCCACTAAAAGCTAGACAACGTCCGGCCCAGCCTCCTCCTCCAGGGTCCCTCCAGAGGTTCTCCCTCGGGCCCAGCAGCCAAGCGGAAGGCCTGCAGGGTCTGGGCTAGCAACCGGGGCAGGCTCTGAGCCATCGTGGCAGGCTCCAGGCCCACCAGGGCACTGAAGATCAGGCGCCGGCCCCCCAGGCCTGCCTGCACCCAGGCACGGAATTGCCCACTCAGCGACTTGGAGCCCAGGTCAGCAAGAACCTGTGGAGACAGAGAGGACCACATGGCCGGCCCCACTATGAGACATGA